AGATTGTTAGTTATTTAGAAAGTCTTTGAGAAAAGTATCTGGTAGCTCTTTTACTTTGTGTCTACTTAACCTACGGGTACTCTTTCTTTCTGCTGACCTGATTCATTAATGCTCTAAGGCTGTGGGCTTGCGGAACTGTTAAGATTAACGATATTAACTGCATGCAAAGTGTATGTTGATGAGTACTAACACTCAGTTTTTATCATTCTTTTTATTCCATGCGCCATCTTTCATTCTTCTCCTGTATTGTACATTTGAAATTAAACCCCATATAAATGAAATCCACTCTTCATTTCCATATAAACCCTATGCCATTTGTGAAATGCTGCTGCCCCTTTGGTTTTTCCTGGTCCTTGTGCAACTGTACGCGGACTGGCTCTCTGGCTCCCCTGCAGACCCAGCCCTCATTCTTCCTCCTATCTCCTTCAACACACTTACACAGGCACAGACATGGGACAGCTCTAGCTACAGTGTTCCATCTGAAGGAGACAGTGACAATGGTAGGTGGCTTTGTACCTATTCTCTGATGTTCTCATTAATAAGCCAGTGAGAATACAGAACGTTCTGTTCTGTGCAGCTGAAGATAGAGTGTGTTTGCCTGCATGCTTGATACAAGAGATAATGAGTAAGCCTAGAAAATGAAGTCCAGTAAAGTGCATGTGGATTGTTCTCCAGCAGTTTGTCAAACCTACAGTTTAATTATCTTGAATATTCTGAATTTGGGGAAAACTTTTCAATACTCTCTTCCCTACCTTTTCTGCTTGGGTTTTTTGGTTTGCTTATTTACCAAGGTTTGATGTTTGCACCTTTGGATTATCTCTGTTTGCTCCTACATCTGAACTAAATGCTTTTAGAGTTTGATCTTTTATTATTTATGCTTACCATATGAGAGTTTTAAGGTAATTAAAATGTACTGCAGCTGATTCTAGAGTGTTGCACTGAAAATAATGTTAATGTTGAGAAATTTCTAAAGATGAAGAGAAATCATTTGTCTTCTCCTTTTTTTTC